TAATTTTGGTAATTTTGAATTAAAATTTTAATGCAAGGGCATTTTAGGTATTTCTCTCCTCTCTTCTCTCTCCGTCCTCCGGTGATATTATAGTGGTATCACAATGCACCTTATATGTGTTTGGGTATCAGACTGAGGTCGTTTGTGTGGCCGATCAGAGATGTAACACAATGGTATCAGAATGCATCTTATATGTATTTGGGTATCACATTGTCTCTCTTGTTTAACAGAGTCAATATGTTTAGGTATCACCAGTGGACGAAGGATGGAGAGAGAAGACAATGAGAGAAAATACATAAAATGTCCTTGCATTAAAATATTAATTTAAAATTATAAATTTTCTAATTAATCTATTGATTTATGGTTAAGATTGGATCTTACGGTTACCACAAACTAGTCAGTTCTCACTTGATGGTTACTACGAAATAAGTTTCACATTATATGAAATAAAAGTATAAAATAGTAATTTGTTTCAATTTTTATATAATACAATTGTAAAAAAATTCGAAAATGCATCCTGATTAATATTTTAAAGTATTAATGATTATTATAATTCATGGTCTTTTCTGCAATTAACCTGTAAATTCAAAAACCCGTAAAATCGTCTAATATGTTGTAGCTGAATTCTACCTTTTTGAGGGATTTTTTAAGCTTTTTGGTTGATTTTGAGGGATTTTGCAAGTCTTTTTTTTTTTTTGTTGATTTCAATCGACATTTTTAATTTTTTTGGTTGATGTTTCTTGTATTTCTTGATATCTCGGAACACTGCTCAAAGTTTAGTGGGATACACCTTTCATACCTCAAAAAAAATTACTTACAGAACTCAGTTGAACGAGTATACGGGGCCCTCTTTGGACATGAATAGGTATGCACCTGTTTTATGTCCCCATTTTTTTCGATTACATCATTTTGTCAAACTCGTTTTTATTTGGTAGTCATACATAAATTGCAACTCAAATTTTTTCATCATAATTTAAAATTATGAACAGAAGATGTATTTACTGGAAAAACAGATGTAAAAAGCTCTAATAAATGAATACATTCTTTTCACTCTTTGATAATATCGTTATGAATACTTTTTTTATCTGTATAAGTTAAGATAATATTTTATTAAGATTATTCCAACAACATTATAAGATGACACTTTGTTTGTGTAGAAGTCTTAACCCCTCGAGTTCAAACAAGGTCAAGTAATTTGTTTTAAGCTGTGACCAAAGGCCATGAATAAAATATTGGATTCTAGTCCAATATAATAACTTCTATTTTTTATAAAACCTGTTGTAATAATTACTGGTATTTAAAAAAAATACAGTTATATCTTAAATGTTTGTCTCCAAAATACGTATATACATATACATATACATATACATACATGGTTGGGTTCACGTGAGACCAAAGGTTTTTCGTGAGACCCGTAAGACCAATTTATGTTCATTGATCAACTTTATAAGCTAATGTATATGCATACACACAAGCCACTAAACCCTAAAACTTGGATTGGATTTCGACGGGAGTGGAGGTCACATATAACCTTATCATAAAACTATTCTTATGGATTAAAGCTATTTTTCTCCCCCCCTTTTTTTTCCTGTAATCATAAGGTCTACAGTTTACGAACAACTCAACTAATTTTCATGAGGCTTTGGAGGACAGTTATGTTCCTTTTCGAAGAACTCAACTAAGAGTTTTGCTCAACCTTTAGGATTACCAGAAAAACCAGCCCATCATTGCTCTACTGTATGAGCGAGATAGCCACCAACTTATTATTGATACCAATCCTCTGTATATACGTTACCGCTTATGGACTTCATTGTAGATGACGTGAAATTGAGTTGGCCAATTTAAAATCGTATTGTTTCATTAAACTGTTAGGACTTTATGGCATTCAAAAATCATGAATAATAAACCATTTATTTTGGAGCCATTATGTGTTGGTTTGCCATTGGTGTAGATGAGCATACCCTCTTTCTTTCTTTCTTCTAGTAATTAGGTTTTTGTAGGTGGAAAAGGGTGGATTAGTGCACCAATGCTCTATTTGGGGTCTTTTTTAAAGAAAAAGATAGATTTAAGTACATAAAGTATCATAGTTGGATAGCTTTTTCGGTACTTTTAAAAGATTGATGAATCAAAGTCATACGATATTAACACATAATTCAAATCGAACGACCTTTTGATTTTGAAAAGCACGGTTCATATGGGTTTAAAAAAGCACCGAACGAATATAAAAATTGATATGAATGAACAAAATATAAAATACCCTGATCTTTTTGTATCTTGAAATAAAGCTTATGTTCACAGAAGTTTCAGTTTCTTTTTTCAAACAGCAGTATTGTTTTCTGTAAGATTTTAATAATCGTTTACTTAACTACTACTCAAACACATTGACATACCGGTCTGTAATTGATTTATTCATTCATAAACATCTGTAAAACCCCACTATCAGTATTAATAATTTATGAATTCTTTTGGAAAAGAATCCATGAATAGTTGTAAGCTAAGGACAAAGAGCAAATGCCAAATGATGCAATCACATTCTTCACTTTCACTTTGTCCACCTTATTTTCATCTATTGCTATAATAATCTTGTGAGAAGCAAATAACCATGTTATCTCTTTATATAAGAAAAGTCAAATAACATAATCACAAAGGGTGGTGTCTGATTAATTTGAGCTTGGCTCCAAAGGTCAAAAGTACCAGGAGGTTACAGGTTCAAATCCAAGGAGGAATAAAAATCCTCTTGTGGCCATGGAGGTTTAAATGCGGTGACTCCGGACTATCTGCAAAGCAGGTGGTCGTCCTGGGATTAGTCGGCTCGCATAGCGAGTTGGATATCCAGGTTAATCAAAAAAAAAGTCAAATGACACATAGTAGCTACAAACATATTGTATCTTAATAATTAAGGCGTTGAATGGTTAAAAGAGACCCATTATACAAAATCATTCAGAGGGTTTTAAAACCATTAAAAGACAGACTTTTTTTGTCAAACAAGATTCACCTTTTAACGATTCAAATGTTGCATCTTAATGGAACTATTAAGAGGCAAACAAACAACCTCTATCTTTAGTTGCATACTTGATAAATTCTAAGCATACATTTATGCTCTCATAATCATATTAATTACAATAATTGCTTAGTTTGATTTTAATTAAGTTTCCTGATAAAAATCATCGGAAACAATCAAAATGATTAATATTCTATTAATTAATTCTCTTTCGTCTTGTTTGTCACACACGATGCTTAATGTGTCTTTCTATGATTGTAGTCACGATTTTTACTCGGAACTTAAAGTGTTGCTTACGTTTGTGGCTAAAAACGAGTTGAGTCTTGAATATTTGACACGAGATTCATGTTAATTCTAGATGTTTCTTTGTAACAATGTGAGATTTGCAGTAAGATTCTGTAGAAACTTGGCCCATTAATATGTTATTAATCAACGTTCAAGTTGAATTTGTGTAGTTTGAGTCCACACATCGAGTTTATTGTACTATATATTAAGAATCTTGTAAGATTATGATGATAAAAGCCGGATTAATATGTCAAATGGCAACAAGAATCGAAGCATCATAGTTGAAGCACTAATGTGTAATCAACATCAGTAGCTTCCTTCCAAGAAACGACGAGCAAGTAAAGCATCAAGGCTTACCATCTTTGTGGTGACCGGTGTACCTGTTTTAGGTTTTACAGTGGGTGTTCTTCACATCAAAATCAAGAGGAGGAAGAGAGAGCAACAACAACGGCAAAGAGGGGAAGCATCTACAGTGGGGGGAAAGGTTATTTGGGCGACTGGGAGAATGGAGCGAGAAAGCCTTGAGGTCATTACTAGAAGAGTTGTGACTGAATGTCTGAATCCGTAAAGGATGGGAGCATATATTCTTTCCTAAAGAAAAGGTTGAGCGTATCAAGCAAAATTTGTCATTGACTTATTCATCAAGTCGTAAATATACACCTATGTATGACTGAGCGAATAAGTTATTCAGATTATTAAACCCGTTAAATAAAAAAACCAAGAACCCTAAATCTAGAATTAGAATATATACTCAAAAGTTACTTTAGAAAGTGAGAGTTTGGTGTGTCGATCGAATAAAAGTTTTGAAGATTTGACGTGAGATTTATGTTATTCTTCACGTTTCTTTGTAACAATTTAGAATTCAATATAGTTTGTATGTTAAGAATCTTGTGAGATTTTGATGGAAACACTCCGATTTAGTATGTTGGTCATAATTTTTAGAGATGGTGTGATTTGATGGTAAAACTACGAGTTATGTGATTTTACCGAATGTAAAAGAAAACCAAACCAAACCAAACCAAACCTATTATATACACTCAAAAGTAGGGTATGGGGGTGGGAGGTACACAGACTCATCCACACCGCAAACAGTAGAGCGATGAACGCCAACGACTTGTGAAAAGTGTGAGCAAAAAGATAAGAAAAAGAAAGATCGGTAAATAGTAAACAACTAACCGATGTACATTGAAACAAAGAAGAAAGTAGGAAAAAGTATGTATCCCTCTATCTGTAAGAGGACTTCAGTAACATATATGTCAGCTCTCAAACCCTCCATAGTCCCGTCCTCAACCTGTCCAACTCATTTCTTCTCATCGCGTTAGTTATAAGTCCCTACACCTAGTCTACTACCCTAGTACCAGTATTATGTCTCCAAGAACTAGTATCAAATCTCCCTACACTTAGAGGCTGGTTGGTTGGTTTTCCATGAAGTCCTAAATGGATAAAGTTGTCTGTGTGGACTAATCTGTATGTATAAATTGGAAAAGTTTTTGTTTGAGATTTTTTCGTAGACGGAAGGAGCATGTTTTTTAATTAAGAAGGACAACTCTGGAAAAACTTAGCATTCTGCATCGCGTTAGTTATAAGTCCCTACACCTAGTCTACTACCCTAGTACCAGTATTATGTCTCCAAGAACTAGTATCAAATCTCCCTACACTTGAGATTTGGTATGTATATAATTCTTTAAAAATAAAAGCAAAACAACACTTGAGATTTGGTATGTATTTACTTGATGTCTAAATATAAGATAATATTTTCCTATAACAACAAGAATCATAGCATAGAAACATACAAGAACGTTTGGGTTGTCCACAAAATAGAAGTTATAATTTAGGAGTAAAACTATATAAGAAAAGGTTTATGCAGTTTTAAGAAAAAACTGTACCAAATACCCTGTGCATATGATTCGGTTATGAAGTTCATCATCTATCTTGGTCATCCAACGGATCACGGCTCGATGATTCACCAGCCACCCGAGTCCCATTCCTCTGTGCATCATCCATGGCTAGCCTCATCATAATCCTCATTCTCTTTGCACTATCAGTTGCTAGGCTTGATGATTCACCACCCTGACTACACCGTGCTCGCCCTCTTACTTTGCTACTAGAATCAGCGGCTGCACCACCCTTGTCCAAGGCACTGCTGTGAGAATCCACCTCCGAAAGACCATTCTCTAGTGCTCTCACCAAGTTCTCAAAATAAGAACGAGTCACACTGGTCAAACCGGCTAACTTCACCCTGAAACCATTGAATTGATCCTCAGTGGCTTCTTCTTCTTCACTTATAATGTACGTCTGTAGTTCCTTTTCTGCACAAAGATGAAGCCTTTCTAATCCAGCCTCTGCTTCACCCTGCACATACTCAAAAAACAATCTTTTGGCCTCTTCTTTTTTGGGTATGTAGTACCCATATGCGTATGTCCATTTCAGAACTCGCCTACATTCAACTATCTGTAGCCAAGCATCGACAATGAACTGCAATTGTGTTTCAGGTTGGCAGTAATTCAAACTAAGGGTCTTGAGATGAACAGTTTCGATCTTCTGCAAATCTAAGAGGGCTTGTTTTCTTGATTTCTCGTTTGCAGCCCATCGTTCATAGTAATGTGTGTATCTCTGTATCGCTTTTTTAGCCATCTCTCTTTGCCTTTCGGCTTCAGGAACTTCTCCCCCTTCTTGGGATTTCGTATAACGATTACAAGCTCTCCCATCATGTCCTACATACGGGCCAAGGCACAACCAACAGAACTCATAGCCGCAAGGCGGTCTGCAAGTCATATGCATACAACCATGGTTTTTCTCGATCGATCGTTTGCATTTTGGACAAGGTTTTGTGTAAGCAAGAATCCAGTTTGTGTTTTCAGCTTCTGTGGTGTTTTTCAGTACCCATTTAGCCACGGTTTCGCAACCTAGAGGACGATGAGCATCCTCCATACATTTCCAACAAAAACCATACTTACAAGCACAAGAAACATCATAACTACCAGTTTCAAAATCATCATCAAATTCGACAGAAAAATCGCATCCTGGACCAGGACACCACTTAATCTTCTTATTGCTTTCAACATAAGACCTAAGAAGAAAGAGCTCATACCTTTTCTTCTCCTTTGCCGGAGCCAAAACGTTGACCATATCCGAACCAACAGCAGCACTACAAGAAGGATCAGGACACCTTAGAATCAAGCATCCAGGACCATCATCAATAGAGGTACAAACATAAGCCTTCCAACACGTCTTACAGAAAAAATGATCACAACCACAAGTAGCAGTCTCATGTTTGCCGATCGATTCAAAACATATCCCACAATCAACGATTTCATCAGCTGTTTGAGGGAATTTAACAACTGGATCAACGTCCAACAAACCAACAGACCTGCGAACTTTAGCTTCGTCCTCAAACCAAGCTTCGTGAAGATTGCTAACACTCCAATTATAGCACAGCAACAGCATGCACGCTGAAGCTCTAGGAATTGATAGAACGGTGGACACCTTAGTGATATCTTCCTCTTGACGCTGAAGCAGATCATCTTCTTTCAGTATAACATAACTTTTCTCACTAGTACAATTGACGCGGTTGATCAGAACATTGGAATCATCGGCGTCTTCATCCACGTCAACACCATCATCATCATCGCCGGTATAACCTTCATCGTAGTAAACTTGATCATAGGAAACTGTGAATGTATATCCCAAAAGAGCATCATGATTGGAATCCATCGGTTGCATGGGGCAAAGGGATAAATTCAGCTTGTAAACAAACAACCAGTTGAAACTATGATTGAGCACGATCGGGTATCGATGAACTCAAGATTGATTTGGAAATTTTAGGGTTTAAGAAGGATTGACGAAGATGGTGTGATGATTTGGGGATTCTGGACAGAGAGAGAGTGTGTGTGTGTGTGTTAGTGCGTGAATTAATTTAATTTAAAGAATTTTATTTATTGAAGAAAAAAAAACCAAAGAATTTTAGGGATTAACGGAACTTCGATTTCCGGGCCCAATTGGCCCAAAAATAAACGGTACGACATTTTGAAGACAAAGCCCACCCACTTTAACAAATAAAACAATAAAATAATTGAAACTGATATCTAGATCTGTGTTTTCAAAGTGATTATCTGATAACATATCGTCCAATCGGTCCCATATGAAATCCGTCTCCTGTGAACTATGTGTGAGAAGGCATCTAAGAGTTGAATCAGCGTTTAAGCCGAAGGGGTTCAAACTTGTATTCTGTAGAAGTCGGACTTGAATCTGTTGTGTAATTGAGCAAAGTCGATCTGCTCGTTTTCCAACTAAGCTACGTACCCGAGGGCCATCGTGTAAATGACATTGTTTTCATGTGTTTTTTGTTTCTAAACTATAACGATATTATCTTATAACACTTTTGGTTCTTTATCTTAACTTTGTTAACAAAAGGTTGTTAAGTAGGTTAACTGAGAGGGCGGTTTAGTCATTTTATCAAGTTAGAGGCATTGGAGTTGGGTTGTCGGAGACCTAAAACGGTAAAGCGTTGATTGGTGAAAAGGCATGCACGAGACATCGGGTTATTCGGACTCTGTTGGGTTTTTTTGGCACCCAAAGGGTTGATTATGGTTTTTATCAGTTAGGTCGTACCTTAACTTGGATTGGATATTTTCCGCATCAACAGTATATAATCCCTCCTGAAATGAAAGATACGAGGAGTTTCTCGATTTTGTGCTCCATCCTTCAAAAAGGATGCTATTTGGATGCAAACTTTCTACAAAGTTTGGAATTGATGAAACAAGGCTTGTTACAGTGACATTGCAGCTAACAGATTGATCATTAGCCATGCTGAAAGGAAACAGTGAAGATATCTCTATCAAGGTTGATGAAATTTGCATATACCCTTTTGTTATAATTATAAGTGTATTTGCGTAACGTAGCGCGATTCAGTCTCGATTATAAAGTTGAGAAGTCGAATCGTCAATCCTGCTTCATATTCCGTTCTATTCAATGGCTCTCTCAGTACTTGTTTTCATGTTTTGTGTGGTTTTCGAGGGCGAGAGAGTCATCATCGGTTACTTATCAATTTTATGGACTATAATGACTTGCTAACTCAACATTCATTTGTATTTGAACATGTTTATCAGTTAGTTATTAACTAGTTTTATAAAGTTCAAACCTGAAGAAAAAAGTTAAAAATTATAACTGTGTGCAAATATAGGAAGACTAGTAGCTCGTATTTGATTTAAGTTGTTCGTTAACTCATCTGATGAAAATGGTCACACCAAGAGTCAAATGGTTTAATCCCTTTTGTTCTTATATTATTACCATGTATTATATTATATAGAGAAAGAGAGATGAGCGATCAAATGAAAACTACTCAATTTATACAAACCGTGTAAACCACCCTCATCCGTCGATTTCATTGTTTAATCTTATGAAAAAAAATTATGAAATTGTTTAATCTTGTGAAATTGTTTCATATAATTTTTTTTTATAAAATTGTTTTATATATGGTTATGAAAATTTAATGAAACTGTTTCATGTATTTCTCTATAATTAAAATAATGAAAATGATAATATATAGTTAACACATTTCATAATAAAAATGATTAATCAACCTCTTATAATTACAAAAAAAAAAATAAACAAAATGAAAAATTATGATTGGTTGAATATTGTTAATATAAATAACGTGGTTTGCAAAGTAAACCTCCTCTCTCTCTCTCTCTCTCTCTCTCTATATATATATATATATATATATATAGAGAGAGAGAGAGAGAGAGAGAGAGAAAGGTTGGTTATTATATAACCTTTTATATTTGTACAACTAATACAACTCAATCTCAACTGTCTATTTCATTTGATTAATATGTTATTTCATAAAAAATTTGATTGTTTCCTAATATAAATTATTGATCATAATTAATGAATCATATTCATCTTTCATAAATATTCAAATAATAATAAATGAACTCTCATCATTTCCATAAATATATCAATTTATTGGGTTGCATTGGTTGTACAAATGCAATAGTTGTATTTGAAACAAACTCTCTCTCTCTCTCTCTCTCTCTCTATATATATATATATATGTGTGTGTGTGTGTGTTTTTTTTATTATTTGCACTATTTTTATTCCATAAATAATAACTATATATTGTCAGTAATTTTTTCCCTTAAATCAAGAAAATACCAAAATTAAATTTATGCTTATGAATTAAGAAAATATTTGGTTGAGTTTAATTTCAGTCGATTTATAATCAAAATATGTAAAATTTCTTACATTAATATGTCTTTTCCTAGATATAAAGAGATACCAAAAATCATCTGCACCAATTTAAATTTATATATATATATATTTTTAAAATGTAAACGGAAATAAAATCGTTGTCAAACGAGACCACCGGGTTGTTGGAGAAAGTTGTGGGGCCCAAAATCCTTGTTATTGGTTCAAAGGTGGACCAATCATATTAGATTACTTCATGTTATCTTTGTGAATTATTGATGTGGTTAATTCAAATTTGTATTTTTTTTATTTTAAAAAATGGTTTTTTTTAATATAAATGAACTTCTAATCCCTTCTCAATTATTGTTGTGTTTTCATCTCTTTTATCTTCTAGAAAATCAAGGCACCGTTTATCAAACGTTTATAAGGTAAGCGTTTAGCGTGTGTCATTTACCTTCCACATAAGTATTACAAAATTTTAGAATCTTATCAAGTAAAAGGCATAGAAAGGATTAAGAATCTTACCCAAGTGTCACTACTTCCTAATATCCAGGTCCACAATAGGGATGGTGATTTACCTCGACCCGGTGGGGAACCCGGTTCACCCGACCCGAACGGGGACGGGGATTCCCCGCTAAAACAGGTCCCGGTAGACTCAAACTGGGGACGGGGGATGTTACTCAAACCGGGGTCGAGGAAGGGGATCCCCGGTACAATCAAACTAAAGTATACTTTCTATAGGGTTTGACCGGGGATTGACCGGGTTTTGACTGGGGATTGCTAGAATTTGACCGGGGACGGGATGATAATCCCCGTACACGCTGGGGACCGGGGCCGGGGGACGTTATTACAAACCAGGGCCGGGGATGGGGATTTCAAAGCCCGCCCCATCCCCGCCTAGTCGTCGCAATTACGAACCTAGCCATCACAGTTGTATATTTGAACCACAATAGTGGTGGCTGATTGGTTTGAGCTTGGCTCCAAAGGTCAAAAGTATCAGGAGGTTCCAGGTTCAAATCCAAGGAGAAATAAAAATCTTCTTGTGACCACGGAAGTTCAAATGCGGTGACTTCGGGCTATTTGCAAAGTATGTGGTCTCCCTGGATTAGTCGGCTCACATAGCGGGTTGAATATCCAAGTTAATAAAAAAAAATTGCATATTCATGTTGAAATAATTTTTTTTGTCTTTTAGCTAATATTGCAGACCTAAATAGTACAGAAGTAGTGACATTTGAGTAAATCCGAAAGAGTAATAATTAAAAGACCAATTTAAATGTGAGAAATGGTCATTTAAGTCGATTTCCCTTTTTAAAACCATCTTAAAAAACTTTACTTTATGGTATATAACAATACATCTAAAATATGTAAGGGTCTTGTTAACCTAATTTCTCGTATTTTAATTTTAATTTTAAATTAATTTCTTTGTCAATAATTGTTTTATTTAAGGACTAAAAGTATAATAATACACCCATTAAAACCATACCCATCTCTTATATGATCTCTTAACATAACCAAATGCCACTAATTTCCATCTTCAAATTTTTACATTTATCTGTAAAACTATTTTTTTATTATCTTCGATTATATCTGTATAAAGTTGTTGGACACGTTTTTTTTTTCTTCACACTTTTTGAGTTGAAAATGATAGATCATATAAAGTATGCCCGTACACTTTATTTGATAATTTTAAATCAATCCAAACAACATATTTATAGTCTCTTTTTTTTTACTGTAAGTTAAATATCTGATAATGAAAATTTAAAAAAATATATACAACTAAAATCTAAAAATAAGATAACTTAGAGGTCATTTACCAAACATTTACCCGATAAGCGTTTACCGGTAAAATCTAACAATATCACTTACTTATCGGGTAAGATTTTAGTCCACAAATACGGCATCATATGCAACATTTTACCTGGTAAACGCTAACAGTGGTGAGAGTTGTCGTCCTCACAAACTGGGTAAGACTCCCGGTCTTTGCCTTCGTCCTTACCGGGTGAGATTCTTGGTCTTCAACATATTCATCCGGTAAGTTAATGTGACTTGGTAAATGCTTACCTGGGTAAGCGTTTGGTAAACAACCCCTTAGTCTATTAAATTTCAAGGTTGTTTACTTGTTTTTTCATTAAATCTTGTATGAATAAATTTGTCTGTGTGGATTAACTTGTTAGCATAGATTGGAAAAAAAATTGTATAAGGATGTTTTTTTCTTAGATGGAATGAACGTATTTTTTAATTTTGGGGGGGGGGAGTGGGGGAATTTGACAAAAAAATCTTGACTTTCTAAATAAAGTTTCCCCTCTAAGCTTAATAGATAAATCATTTAATACATTATTAAATCACTACCAAATAGTCTTGTATAGCTGACATAAAATGTTTTGTAAATCTAAATTTAGGTTTTTACTGTACGTATTTTTAGGATATAAACTGAACCAAAATATGTTTTATTCCCATATAAGACCCTTAAATGTTTGACATATCTTGTCGTAAACTTCAAAACGAAGTTTTTAGAAGTGATTACTAATAAAGAAACCAAAACAAAATATGTTTCATTACCATAAATAACAAAATTGTCACATATGAGTTATTTTACAATTTTCATTAATGGGTTTTGCTCAAAATTTTGGTTTTTGTTACTCAAAATTTTGGTTCTTTCTTATTTAATACAACAAA